AACCAGAAAGTAGAATCTGATCTTAGTTAAGTTCAAGAATCACAGAGCACCGCCTCCACAGCGGGCCCGGCAGCACGTGACAGGTCCTCCGACCGTCACCTGTGGGACCCCCATGAGCGATCTCCAGACTCAAGGACAGAGGCCGTAGGCTGGGGGGACACAACTTCGCTCACTCTCCCCAGCAAAGGGGGACCAACTCTCGGCAAAGGCATCTCACCCTCTTCTGCATGAGGGACAGCACGAAAGATACACGGGGAAACAGAGCAGAAGGTGGGCAGCCCAGAAGAGCTCGTCTGCACTTCCAAGGCAAAGTGGGGCCGTTGACTTAATCACAGTGACAAAGTGAGAATGAGCATTTCTCTGTTCTGTACCATACTCCGTGATAAGCCTTTCCCTGCATTAGGAGTTAATTCGGAAGTCCCTGGCAGTGTTTCTGATGTCCTAACCTGGCATGGTGGCTGTCGGGCAGGAAGAGAGGGCCTGAGACGAACAGGTGCTGGGCCTGGGGGGCAGGAGACACTGGCTCCAGCCCCAGCTCAACCAGCGCCTCGTTCTGCCTCTCGGGATTCAGCATCTCATCTATAAACAAAGGGTTGACACTGTCTCAGGACAGGCTTCCCAACAAAAATGAAATGAGAGCCATGTAAAGAAAGTTTCCCAGTTGCCACATTTAAAACGGTAAACAAAGAAACAAACCAACAAACAAAAAACAAATACTAGAAACAGATTTTAAGAACAGATCTTACTTAATCTACTGTATTTAAAATACTAACATTTTGACATGTAATCAATATAGGAAGTAACATGATAGTTAATATTCTTTTACTAGACAAGCCTCAGCGTCTGATGTGCATTTGACCTACAGCACATCTCAACACAGACCAGCCTCCTCCCCAGTGCTCCTAGCATCAGTGACTGTGGCTACTCTATTGGACAGCAACTCCAGGGGTCCCACCAGTGGTCCTGGCTGAAAAGCGGGAGTAAGTGTCCACACTAACCCTAAAAGGATCTCTCTGTACAAAGGCAGATTCACTTTTAAATGTCTGTAATCCGGTGGGCTGCCCCTCCCTACCCCCTTGGCTACAAGACAGTCCTCTTCCTTGCTGATCCCTTTCTGGATGTAGGGAAGAAACCTGGCACACAGCCAGGGTGGACTGGCCTCCAGGGAAACTTACCTGCTGTCTGTCTCCAGTCCCATGACGTCCTCCTTCTCAAACGAGATGCAGAGGAGGGTGATCTCGTCCCCAGACTTTTCGGGGTCCCCATCCAGCCACTTGGACTTGGGCAAGATCAAGAGTGAGTGACTCAGTGAAGTCCTCGATCCTCTTCTCCACCACCCTGCAGTCCTCGTAGATTGAAGGCCACGTTGGTGAGCGACTGCTCGGCTACCTCCTCATGCAGCACAAAGACAAAGAGCTGAGAGTCATTAAGCGTGGTGCCATACAGCTCCTCTGCACGTGGAGATTCTCGAAGGCCTTGGCCGAGAGGTACTCGGTAATGGTGACAAGGCCCACGACCTTGCGGTGGGTCTGAAAGTCGCTCCACCCATTCTCAGGTGCATAGTGGTGCCTGTAGTGGATACAGATTGCCCACTGGGAGCCTACGGGCTGATCTGGCTCAACGAGGAGATTCGCTTATAGATGCAAAAGAAATTCTCCTCTGAGATGATCCCCACGTGTTGGACCACCACGGGAAGAGTCTCAGAGTCCTCAGCACACTGTACGTAGTCAGGGATGCTGATGTTGCAGGCCCTGCCGAGAGGGGAGAGGAGATCGTGGTACATACTGTGCTGTGGGCTGTGGGCCCATCTGGGTTGCGGTGACCTGGTGTGTACCAGACAGAAGGCAAGGGAAGCCAAAGCAAATCCGGGGGTACAGTTTGTCCTCAGAGTCTGCACATGGCTACCGTAGCTCGGATCACATTACCCAGCTTTTGGTCTAGGCTTCCTGCCCCTGCAGAGTAGGGTCATTTCTTGTTTTCTGTTTCCAAGCACTTAGCAAGGCCCTGATGGAAAATCACTGCTCAAAAATGCTGAATAAATAAATGAACAAAGGAACTGCTTTCCCCAAACCCCTTCAGCAGAATATAAAGAAAAGGACCACAGTAGGATCCAAAGATCTGGATTTCTATCCAATTTATTTGAACTCCTAAGCTGCAGAATAATGGATAAGAAAACTCTCCTTGGGGAGGACGGTACAGTTCAGTGATAGAGCACAAGCTTAACATGTATGAGGTCCTGGGGTCAAAGCCCAGTACCTCATTTTAAAAAATTAAACAAATAAATAAACATAATTATCCTCCTCAAAAAATATTTTTTAATTCAAAATTCAAAAAACACCTTGCAATTGACACATCATTGTAAACTTGAATAAACTGCAATTAAAAAAAAACTCCTTGACTTACAAGAATATATCTGGATTACGCAAGTTTGCAAATGTAAAATGCCTAGGGTACCCCCTGCATAAAAAGGGGGGACTGTACAAATTTACTATCGCACCTTTATGAGCAATATTTCCTTTTGGGGGGATTATAACCTCTCAGAGCTAATTTTCTCAGATTAAAAAAAAAAACATTACCTGATTCTCAGTACTGCTGAAGAATCAGATAACCCTAAGAAAGCATCTGACCCACAGAGGTTACTCAATAAATGTTTGTTGAATGAATGAATAAACAAACAATGTGAATGCTGCTCCCTGCTACAGACCATCATAATGGCACTGCCTGGAAATCCCAGGCCCACGTTCCATCTGACTCTACACTAACCCTGTGTGTTTCTCTAAACCCCAGTTTAATCATGAATAGAAATGAGGGCAATAACACAAACCTCAAATTGTTACTGAGTCATTAATGAATTGTACCCCAACATTGCAAGATGGAATCATTAAGGAAAACTGGGCAAACTGTCCAGAGGCCCTTTTCATATACTCTCTTAGAATCACATGGGAATCTACATTACATCTCAAATAAAAAGTATAATTTTTTAAAGAGGTTATTGAGGTTAAGTGAGCTCACTCTCTCAAAAATTGAACACACAGTACAAATAGGACAATGCCCAGCCCATGAGATACACTCACTTAACATTCCCACTGAACCCACTGGTCCCTTCATCTTCAGAGCACAAGGACGGGTCCTCGTGGAAATAGGCCACTGCACCTGAAGCTAAGAAAGTTAATGGTGCCCAATTCCAAGATCCCCTGTCACCACCCTTTTTCTAATTTTCTATTTGAATTTTTTTTCTTTTTATTAAATAGAAACTCCCAAATGCATAGCCTTCACCTGACCAGATATCATGATTGCAGCCCTTCAAAACCTGACCACAGAGATCATGATGGCAGCCCTTCTTGGTGAAACAATATAATGAAAAGCCATTTTCACAAGATCTCTGTGTAAATCTACTAAGGGAACTTCATCCTGGACTGAGGAAAGAGGACTGGGGGGGGGCAATCTCAGGCACGGAGAACTATGGGCCACCTGTCCCACGATGGACTTTAGACTCAACCCTCACCCTCCAGGAACTTCAAAATACACACCGACAGAGTGCTATGGACAAGATTTTTTTTTTTTAACAAATCCCTGAATCCCTAGCAGGTCTTTTTTCTACCAAGACACAAATGGCTTATGTGTATAATGTTTCATAAAAGCCCTAAAAAATTATCACCCCAACTTGACACATCAAGAAACAGAGGTAGAGAAGTTTATCTCATTGTACAAGATTAGAAAGAGGCCACGTCAGACACTGTATTTAAATCCAAGCCCTTGCTCCAGTGCTCACAATAGAAGTATAACATACTGCCCCTTTTCTGCTCTCTCTCTGAAATAAATCTCTGAAGAGTCTTTTCTGTGCCACCTGGAATCACAATCACATCAATTTTCCACAAAGAGCTATGTCACCCCTTGGAGGACTTATCAAAATCTAAAGGGTTGGTTTGAGAGGAGAGATTTGCATTTTCTGTTTCTCAAAGGAAACATGGCTTTAAAGAAACTGAAAAGCACTTATCTAGTCTAAGCCCTCATTGTGCAGAGAAAGAAACAGAGGCTCAGAAGAGATGAGGAAAGGGCCTTATTAACAAATATAGCCTCATTGCAGCACCAAGCCAGCCCTGGGCACTTCTGGAGGAGGATCTGGGGGGCCCAGGAGAATGAGTATTAGAAAAAGGAAAGAGAAGAAGCATACAAGGTCTTGTCTCTACACCGCCATAACATGAAATTCCACCAAATTACCTAGTATGGGTGCACCCAATATTAAGGTGGGCTAAACAGGATATAGAAACCTGGAATTCTCAACCATAGTGGAAATTCCAACATTTACTGTGCTTTTTTCCCAGTTCAAGCATCAGTTCAGTGGGCGCTCTGTACCAGGGACTACACGAGGCCTGGAGTTCTCCCAGATACAGATCTCTATTACCACGTGTGCAAACCACATAAAGGCCACCAGAAGAAAAGTGCCCACAGATAAGATGGAATTACTGAAACTGAAAACTGCCAACCAGCATATATTACTAGCAAAAGCGGTGCTGCTAGAAATCGACTCATGGACATAGAAAGCAAACTGTGGTTAGCAGGCAGGAAAGGGAGGATTAATGGATACACATTAATAAATATAAAATAAATCACAAGACCTACTATATAGCACAGGGAACTATATTCAATTTCTTGTAATGAGTTGTACTAAAAACTATCTAAAACAAATGTATATATATATGCATATGTTTATAACTGAATCTCTGCTGTACACCTGAAACTAACATTGTAAATTGACTACACTTCAATAAAAAATAATTTTATATAATAAGTAAAAATAAAAGCAACGCCATTAAGAAAAAATAAAAGAACACTCTAATCCCCTTAGCTGTATGTGGTGGAGAATTCTGGTTGCAAGCACCAACTCCGCTGGATCACTCCAGCACTTGCTGTCACTATTTCTGACCCTCAGAGAGTCACTTGGCTTCACTGAGGTTACTTTTCTTTTCTGTGAAAGGCTACAGTTGCAACTAACGATGTATAAAATCTCATCATTCACAAGCCCAACAAGTAGTGAGGACTTCCCATGGGCCAGGCACTGGACAGATGAAAAGATAGGGTCCCACATATATTCATGGGTAGAAGTTTATGCCATAAAGACATTAATTCTTCCTGTTTTCATAGACAGATTTATTGCAATTGTGATTAGAATTCCTACCAGATTTTTCATGGAATGTAACAAGTTAGTTTATGGTCAGGAATAGCCAAGAGACTTCTTTAGAACCACCACTGGGGAGGGGTGGCTAGGTCATTCATTTCCACTGGTCTTTCTGAAGTGATGAAAACGTTCTGGAATAATAATGGTTGCACAAATGTGAATATGCTAAAAGCTGCTGAATTGTACCATTTAAATGGATGGACTTCATGGTGT